TAAGGATTGGCCACCATAGGATTCTCCCTCTGTCTCTGTCTGTCTGTCTGTCTGTCTGTCTGTCTGTCTGTCTGTCTGTCTGTCTGTCTGTCTGTCTCTCTCTCTCTCTCTCTCTCTCTCTCTCTCTCTCTCTCTCTCAGGGATTGGTCTCTGAAATATTGATGCCCCGTGACTTCAAGAATCACATTAGGGTGCCAATCCAACAGAAGCGAATTCCAGAAACCCAGTCCCGCCGTATGTGCTGGGGCGCTCTACAGTTGTGAAAAAAGCTGCTGCCCAGTGTGGACAAGGAGGGTGAAGGAGCTATTCTTCTTCTTCTTTTTCTTCTTCTGCATTCGCGGGACCTTTAATCAGAATGCTCCTGGCACCACTGGTATTAGAACTCTGCACTGGCTGCTGAAGATGGGGATGAAGCGGTTATGGGAATGCCCCGAATGCTATGATGTCGGTTCTTGAACCAAATCAACTCATTATGCATTCGCCCTTTCTGAGGGGGGGGGGGGGTGGGCATTTGACACGTTATATGGCAGTTACCCTAAGCTGCGACTTCTGAGCCATTCAACTCAACACATTCCGATTTCAGCAAATTTTAAATACTAGCCTTTTATGACAGCTTGTTAAAGAGCAGTGGATTTACTGCTATTCCAACACCCCTCCCCACCCTTCCCCCCACATAGGGCTTTGAACCAACACGGAGATTTGGGGATGGGGTGTAAGATACTAATTAAGTGGCAGCCGAAGCGTTAATGTTGGAACCCGATATTGGCCTGCCCCCATCGGGCTATGACATATATAACACGCAATTGCTCAGGGGTCGACTTCATTTTCCACCACCTCTCTTTCCCCCTCAATTTTCTTTTGCCGCGGCCGGACCTCTTCGTTCTGCTGTGGCACTTGTACTTTAGCACCGACCGACTTATTGGAAACCTGTTCAATCGCGTCTTGTTGGCCGTCCGTCATGTTCGTTCACGATCAGCTGTTCAACCGTTAGGCGCTGATCTCCCCTCTTCGACATCGATTTAATCCGCTTCCTGATTGGCTGCAGGGCAATTGATCGAACGTTCTGATTGGCAGAGAGAGGGCAATAGCCGCGGTGGCTGATTGCCGGTAAGTTCCAAGCGAGTCTGTCGTCTGCAAGGTAAGAAAGACTTGGCCAAGCTGGGCGATGTTCTTAATTATAACGGTTCTGATTTTGTTTCGGTGTGTCAACTATCAATAAGTCGAAACTGATGAGCAAACGTCTTTTCTGGATTTAACGCTATGCTGATCATAGTTAAATTTAATTACTAGAAGAAAGAATTGATTCATAAAATAATAATTTGATTGAACTTGAAAGTGATTGTTTTAAATTGCTTTTCTGCAAGGTAAGACATGATATAGCTAGGAAATTTTTGTTTACTTAACGGTTCTTTTTTGTTTTGTTTTCTGGTATGTCAGATATCACTAAGTTAAAATACTTCAGTAAAAACCTATTTCGATTTAAGACTGCCGATCATTGTCCAGTCCATGTTAGTTAAACTAATAGTTTTATATTACTAAACGGATCGATTAATTTGGAAGCGAATATGTGGGCACACTAAGGAATTTTGTCTATAACGGTTCTAATTTGGTTTTACATGTTGTGATATGTCACATATCGTTATGTCAGAACACCTAAACGAAAGCTTATTTGAATTTGAATGATCGTAGTTAAGCATACTAGAAATGAATAATTTGAACGTGATTTCAACTAACAATCGTGTTCTATATAAAATATAGACAAAATGGGTTAAAAGTTTTTATATAAATGTTTTCATTTGTTTTAGGTATTAGGCCTATATAGTAGACCAAGCATTGTTAAATAAAAAAACTTAAGTACAAACTTAGAACAGAGTTTACAGCTGGTGAACGCGAAGAAGACGAAGAAGAGTGTGAAATAAACATTTAAGACTGCCGATTATTAGTTCAGTCCATGTTAGTAAAGTTAGCTAAACTAATAGTTCAATTTTACTAAACGGATAATTGCAGATCCATTAATTTGAACTTGTTTTTTATAATCTGCAAAGTAAGAGAAGACGGAAAGCTTGCTAGGTGATATTTTATGTAATACTTCTAATTGTTTCGCCTATTGTAGTGTGTCAGCTATCAATATGTAAACAGTGACTGTGTAACACAGTTAAATAAATACTAATTAAGTTTCATGCTGTATAAAGCTCGTATCCATTGAAGCAGAACCGATCGATTATTTGAACTTGTTGGTTCTTTCTGAGGTTATAAGTTGTAAAGAAAGGGGATATTTTTATAAAACAGTTCTATTTTGCTTTGGTTTTTGTGGCGTGTATAGTAGTACATAGTCAAAGTTAAGTAAAAACAGTCAAATGAAACTATCGGAAAAGTAAAACTATGTCACTCCATCGTTAAGTCCATATTCCAGAACAAAATATCGATTAATTTGAACGTGTTGAGCTGGTTGTTTTCTGTAGCCTATAGGCTGCAGCAAGGGCCTGTTTTGTAAACAGTGCGAGAAATGATCCGAAGCATTGATCTGGTCGATCATGACATGGCCTGGTGCCAGAACTCTTATAGAAAAGCATGTTTGGATTAGTTTTTTTCAGTGCTTTTGTCAGAGACCTACTTTTTTCCTGATTTGTATGGGGGTCTGTGTGTATGGCTGGCTTTCAGTGCACTTGAGAAAGCAGTGTAATGTACTGAATTATAAAAAGACTGTAAACTTTGTTTTCTATTTATTTTAATTATAACATATTTTAGCGCTCAAAGTATTCACAGATTGGGTAGGCATACCAATTTGTGTTCTCTTATAGTTTTTTTCATTTTCAATACTACACATGTCTACTGCATAATCTTTACTACCTGTGAGGAATCTGGATCAGCATCTTATCTTCTTCCACACAGGAAAATCTGCACATTTGCATATAGAGTGTTAGAACAGGTGTAGTTTGTAAAAGGCAGCAAAAATTGGTATGGGATGTCACAAAAGAACGACTGTCCTTAAAGAAGAGGAATAGACTTATAAGGAATCTATCACTCCATGACATAGGAATGCCAACAAACTGCGGAAGTGGCTCCATAACAGATTTATCTAAGGTATTATCTCAGGATATTATTATGTAAAAAAATATAAAGGACACTTTTCCCATGCCTTTAGGCGTATTGGGTATATAGGGCTAGACCTATACTGTATAGACCAAGCGGCACTTGGTGGGTGATGTGGTCAGCATCATGCCCCCGTCAGGACCCGAACCCACAACCTTCCGATCTGCAGCTGAGCGTCTAGCTGCTAGACCACTTATTAAATAAGCAGACAGCAATTCCTGTTGTGGGGACCCACTGAAATTAAAAATGTGGATACCTGGGAAATATCTAGTTAAAGACCAACCCACAATTTATATAGCCCCTAACTGTGTTTCACAATAAAGGTGAAAACACATTCTTGTTGAACTACAATACATTACTTATAGTTAAAATAATAAGAATGAAGTTAACATTTCAAAATGTATTGATCATACTGAAGCAACATATAATCATCATGAACTATAAGCAGGGCCAACAGTTTACTGCAGAGCTAGGGCACTGTGATTCACAAGCGTATAGGATACAAAAAACATTGAGAACATGACAAAATTGCTCCTATAATTGTATCAAATTGATGTTCTTGTAATCTGACAGACATCATAACTTTCTACAGTTGAAGTTTCCGAGTGCTTCGTTTATAGGCTTATGAATTAACCTCTGGACTCTGGCTCACTGGATTGGGGTTACTTGTCAGCCTCATGAGCAGGCATTTTACTATCATTTAGACACTCAGTCAGCAGGTTCAGGTTTTCAGTTCTGCTGCTCTCTTTACACATACAGCAGAAGCCAGATAAGGTACTGGCATTGAGGCAAATCACCCAGCGGGTTCAGGTTTTGAGTTCTGCTGCTCTTTTGAATCAGACTAGAGGATTTACACATACAGCAGAAGCCTGATAAGGTACTGGCATTGGGGCAATCAGCCTATAATATGTGAAGGCCCAACACTTTACACCTAAACAGCAGTGTCTGCTGTAGAACCAGGGCTTTTGTTTCATAGAACGGTATATCTACCAGCACCTTTTTTTCAAAGGATAATTTTTTTTCAGTGCTAGAGGGATAGAAACTTTGTGGCAAGCAGCTCTACCTTCTTATTAGACACTTTGTGGTGAGCATCACCACCTTTCTAGAAAAAAATCCTTGAATAGAACTAACTTTACTTTTAACTCATTCAATACCAAAGCCGTCACTGTGCACTTATTACGTTCTGCTTATTTTACATTGTTCTTAACTTCTTTTGTCACATCCAGATGTTACACTAACTGCCCTGCACTTATTGTTGTACTAATTCATTCTCTCTCAGAATTATAATATTTTAACTGAGTGTTTCCCATTTGATGGTCTGTGGAGCAAATTTAATGGGTCTGCGATATCAATTGCAGCACCTAAATTTTAGAAGACAATCCTTTTTATGATTGTAATATTTATAAATAGAATAAGTCTTTCAGTCTTCTTCTTTTGTAGCCCATTGTCGTGTTTTTCCATATTAGTCTTGAGCTTCTAGAGATGTTCAATAGGACTGTTGAAACACACAGGGCCTGAGGCAGATCTTTCAAAATAAAAGTGGTTTTGGGGTTATAGGTAATTGGTAACCACTCTTGCAACTCATTGTGACACAGTTATTAGTTAAAGTTAATTTCTTTCTAAGAGAAAATAGTTTAAATAATATCTTCCTGGTGCTGAAAGAGTTAATGATCTATCTCTAAACACATTTCTGCAGCCAGCTAGCTAACATTGACTCAAGTCTCGTGTTATGATTTCAGGTGTCACTGATGTAGTTTGTTTTGTCAAGTGAGCAATGCAGATGATAAACCTCATCAGGTACACCCTTCAGGTGACCAAAATAATGTAGCATACTTCAGTTATCAGTGGAGCCCTTGTCACAACATTCCGTCCTGCAGACACCTCATAGATGTCTGCCCTCTCTTATCATGCCTGGTGGAGTCAAACAAAGAAAGTTATCTCATCCGGATAAGTAAGGATGTGTGTCAGTGTTTTTGTTGTTGTTGTTATATGGGTGTGTAAATTTGTGCCTCATATATTTTGAATGTGTGTTTATGTTTTGTATATGAATAATGATTTCCTTAGATTTTTTGTATGTGTATAATGATTGCTTCCTATGTTTTATATCTGTATATTGATTATTTCCTATGTTTTAAATGTGTCTGATGATGACTTATATCAGGACTTTTCAACTGTCTACTCTTCTTCTTCTTCCTCAGCATTCCGAGCCCTTGAGGCTCATTGCTGCAGAAATCACCCACCTCTATTTATCTCTCTGGTTGCCCTTCTCTTTCTTGTTGGTGACCAGATGTTTCTAGGTATATCTGGATATTAACTCTCCATCGTCTTCCTGGTCTGCCTCATGATCTTTGACCATTCAGCTCCCTTTTGTATACAGTTTTTACCTCTCTGTGGTTTGACATTCTCTCAATAAGTCCCAGCCATTTCAGTCTATTAGCCTACATATTGCCAGTGGTTAGTGGTGATTTAAAAAGATTATGAATTTCATTGTTGCAGCTCACACTTCCTTCCCCGCTGATTGCATCTTTGATGGGTCCGAAGATTTATCGTAAGACTCTGTTTTCAAAAATTTATAATAAAGCTCCATCTCTTTTAGTTGTGCTTCAAGTTTCAGAGCCATATAAAATGACTGGTCTTATCAACGTTTTATATATTTTGATCGTGCTTTTGCGAGATAGAGACTTTGACTTTAGTAGACTTTGAAGGGCATTGTACAAAGTCTACTAAGGGGCTAAAATGTTGAAATTAGGGATTGTTGCAAACCACACATCCAAACCCCAGCATAGAAAGATCATTAGTATAATACAGTTGGTAATGATCCTCATGCCACTTGCTCTGCGGGCCTGATTCCGCTCATCGGGTGCCAGTTAAATAACCCTGACTTACCAGATAACTTACATGGTTTACTTATCTTAACTGCTTGTTTCCTCAGTAAATTCTTACACTAATCCATTCTGACCATATTGTCATTTCAACTCCTTGTATTTTATTATTAATATTTGAACTCTTGACATTTATTAGTTGAAGCAGTATCTTATTATGATAAAATGAGCCAAAGAACCACATGTCTAGTCTTTTCTGTGTGTTGTGGAGTCTGTGTGAAAGAGTCTATGTGCAATCCGAAGTATGCAGTTTTTGTGGGTGTTTTGTTGTTGTTGTTGCTGGGAAGGAGGACCTAGGCTGCATACAGTAGTGGAACCTAAGCTGCATGCAGTGATGGGACCTAGGCTGCCTACAGTCATGGGACCTAGGCTGTGTGCGGTCGGGGGACCTAGGCTGCACTCTTTCATGGGATGTAGGTGGGTTGGGGCTAGGGCCAGTTGTAGATGTCTTGGGGTTGTTAAAAGTGCTCACATCATGGAATATAGAACACTTAGTATCGCCGGCAGCTGATGTTTTTTTTTCTGGGTAGGAGGATGCTGTTTTGAAATGTGTTTGTGTGAAACTATGTGCAATCAGGCAGGATAAATTGTCCGTTGTGGTACTGTGGGGGTGGTCCTAAAAAGGGCCAATCATTCTAGATGTATACTGCTGGGTTCATGCACAACTTGACAGTCAGAACAATTTTACACGTTAGTAGATCTGAAGAGAGGTCAGAATGTGCCATTGCAGCGGCAGCAGCAGAGACGGCAGGCTATTGTTGTGGTAACACCATCACCTTATTATTGTCACAAGGTCTGGTGCTATCCAGAATGCCATGATTTTGCAGAAAAGCAACGCTGCTCTCCTTGTCAGGCACCGATGCTGCTAATTCTAGGAAATTCATGGTGATAAAGACTGAACACAAGTCGCTGGAGAGACGTCGCAAACATAAGCAAACACAAGTTGCTGGAGAGATGCTGCTGGAAGAAGAAAGGCGCGCCAAAACCCTGACAACACCTTGGCAGACACACAGACAGTGGGAAAGCTCGCTCTTACCACCCTCGAAAATATTAGACTGTCACGTGACGTCATCTGTGGTAAAAAAATTGGGAAAGAACCATCTTTTATGTTAAATTCTTTTTTAAATTGAACAAAAAAAGCTTTTGGCAGAAAGAGTTAATAAAAGAGCCTCTGTCTATTCAGTTTTTGCCTAATTTGAAAGTTAGAGTATTCCGAGTCAGGGTGAATAAGGACAAGTGTCAAAAGCGCTGAGGTTTTGTTGAGATAAGGAAGTTATGAAGAGCTGTTATATGTAACAGTGTCACTTCCGTCTGATTGTACTATCAGCACTCTGTTAATTGTTAAGACTCTTCACACTTCTGAAGTCAGGTTGGTTTTTAGTCATTACTCTTGAATGGACTTTCTGAGATTGTTTGTTATACACATATTTAAAGTGCAGTCCCTGCTGTCTGTTTTTGACTATAGATTGCTGTATGTTTATAAGATGAGAAGTAGAGGCAGCAGGCATGAGTTGACCACTGCAGCTATCGAGTGCTAAATAGATATAGGTCTATCCTACATTCCTGGTGCACAAGTCCTTTACTTCTTTTACTTATGTTTGTAAGTAAAATCTGTTTTTTAGTGGCCTTACTTCAAGATTGTTGCGGCTCTGAAGATTAGAGTTTGGCGAATGTAGTTAACAATTTCATGATCCTCGAACACTAAAGTTCACCTCCTGCCATGAAAAATAAAAATAAAAAAGCATTCAGACAATGATATGAAAGTTGTGCCATGGAAGAGCTTGGAGCCTCACCGCGTAATGTTCCCAAAGACAGCAGTAGTCCACTGTAGCAGACCTTCATTGTGGGGACTGCACCAAATTTATTTTTAACTCGGACATTGAAGAAGCCGAGGTAGTGCAGTGGTTAGCTTGCTGGCTTTTGATGAGGTGGTCGTGTGTTCAAATTTGTATTAAGCTGGATCTTTAAACAGTTTCTAACCTTGAATTTCCCCGTACATAAGACTGCAGAGTCTTTTGTGCCCAGCTCACAATCAAAATATAATGGCCTGTTTCTTTTGTGGGAATTGGTTGACTTGGTTTTCAGGAAGTAAAGATGGTTTGTCTATAAAAATTTAGCACTACATGTCTGATGTGCCACTGGTGTAAAAGGGGTCATTTTATGAATGTGTTTTTTTGTTTTGTTTCATTAATAACTGCTATTTTTTGTTAGTGCAATGATAGTAGGATTTCCTGGAGAAACCAGTATGATAATTTCGCCTTCTTTAGTGATTGCATAAGATAATTGTAAATGAGTTCATCTATTGTGTTTGGCTGGATACTTTAGAAACTATTTCTTCTGCTTAAGTTTTGCAACCTTCACAACAAATCAGAGTCTTACATTGTCAGCTGATTTTCTCCGGGGACCCAACCACCATCCATATCCTGTTGTCTGCACTGACTTAAGTGAAGTATCATCATGCAGTTCTAATCACAAAACATGATTGATAAAGTAGAAGAGGAAGTCCTCAGTTGAAAGTGAAGTGTCAGTAGCGGGATATATTTAGCTACCATACTTTCTCCGGGGCTTCAGTTTGTTTAGGCTAACTCAGAAAATGCCAGCAGAACCATCTTTCAGGTATTACCCTAATATATACTTGTTTATCTCTTTTAGTACTATGCAGATATCAGTTACCTCCATCTCTGGTAGAAAGTTTTCACTTTAAGCAGTAAATGTTTGGGTCAGAATGACTTGAAACTATAGTCATTTGAGAGAGGAGTTAAAATAAAGCAGTGTGGGTTAGTTTAATAACTTGGTGTGCCACGAGGTAAAAGTAAGTTAGTAAAGGACCGTTTTTTGTGCCATTAGATGTATAGGGCATATAGGGCTAGACCTATATTTTTATAGACCAATCGGCACAAGATGGGTGATGTTGTCAGCATCATGCCAGCCGCCTTTACTTCCCAGGACTGCACCCGGTACCCGCTCAAGGCTGGGTTGACCTGGGAGCCAAGGTCATTTTTGAAAAAAGATCGGCTCCGTCAGGGAGCGAACCCACAATCTTCCGATCTGCGGCCAGCGTCTAGGGACTCCCTGTGCCACAAGGAGTTAAGTAAAATGTATCATGTAAGTAGAACACAGTAATACACACATGATGAGTTACCTGGCACTGAACAAATTTACAACTTAGTGTACTTGTTACTATTAAGTGTTATTTGTTAACTCTTAAGCATATGTGATATTAGGGCCAGTATATTTAAGTGGTTATGTCAGGGAGTCACAGATAACTATAGATTGATATTCATTTTATGGCAAATAACAGAACACATTTGGGAATATAGAAGAGATGTTCACTTTCTTTCTTTTCCTTTCTTATTGTACCTCACCAGAACATCACACAAGCGATAAAAACCTGGTGACCCAAAGTGCCACCATGCGGATGGGGATCACCCATGGAGAGGTCCCAGAAACCCCTTTCAGCCGTTAGGCCATATTTATGGCCCGGTTATATTCAGGCCCCCCGGCAAAAGCCAGACTGGGGCTTCAAGTAACGAAAAATTGCATCCCACATGGGGACGGCTATGTCATCAAGAGATGTTCACAATATTTTTGTGAATTTTAAAAAGGCATATGATAGTGCACATAAAAACAATTTATTGAATGCTTTGAAGGACTTTGGAATACCAAAAAAGTGTTATCACCATGACCAGACTATGTATGAAAGAAACTTATAATATAGTAACATATAAAGTCAGACCCTTTTCAAATAACATATAGTTTAAAGCAAGGTGATGCTCTTGTCTCCACTTCTTTTCAACTTGGCCCAGGAGAAGATTAAATGGAAATCGAACGAGACGAGTGTACTATAGGAGGAATTACAAGAGTACTTGGTTATGTAGATGACATTGATATCGTTAGGGAAAACGAACTAGAGGCTGTAAAACACTGAATCTCTTAAAAAAGCTGGACCTATATTGTATAGACCAATCGGAACATGAAGAGTGATGTGGTCAGCATCAGATCAGCCGCCTTTACTTCCTAGGAATTTACCTGGTACCTATTTAAGTTTGGGTCGACCTGGGAGGCAAGG